TGGGAAAAATAGCGGTGGAAGTCAAACAAAGTGCCCAGGATGCAGAAGCATAATGGGCTTAATTATCAATAATTTAAACAAATACCCTGTGGTGTTTATAATTATATCCACATTATCATGGTTTCTCTATCGAAGTCCTTGCATCGTCCATCTGGTTCCACATTGTACACATGAAAGATTAAAGCAGGTCAGCCACAGTTAAGGTTGGAAGTAGAAGCCTATGCGGCCAAGGTTATTCTGAGCTCAACCCAATTTATTCATTGAATAAATGTAAGTCAGATTCACACTTCTGATTGTATTTATTCATAAGCCTAACAAAATCGCTGATTTATATGTTATTATTATGTAATATATTACATGTATATTAGTTTCGTCATTTAATTTTTAATCAATATATATTGTTATTTTTAATTAATTATTTTTTCATTTTTTTACTTTATTATTGTATTATATTGTAATTGATAAATTCTTTTAATTATATATATATATACACATATATATATCATAATTGATAAATCAAGTCATATATATATATATATATAGTAAAAGATAAAGATTTTAATAATTTTAAAATATATTTAAAATGTTTGAAACTAATATAATATATAAGTTTATTTCAAAAGTTTAATTGTAAATAGACTACCAGATCAACTTAAATAAATTCAAACTTGAGCCATGATAAAAAAAAAATACTTATACAATAAACTTCAGAGTCCAGACTAGACTCAAATCTTTAACCTATCATAAAAGTTTAAGCTTATCTAGTTAAAGCTTAACATGACTTAACCTATTTTGTTACTAATCCCATATTGTGTATGCGAGGTGTGCATGGGGAAGGAGGGGGAAATAATGGAACAAGAGGCTCAATGGTTGACGCTAGAAAAGCATCTATGCGGAGAGTTTGGTGAGATTCCGCCTCGGAAGCTAGCCGGCAAACTGTTTTCAAAAGTATTTGGCATGTGCATGCTTCCTTCCTTGTAGTTAAAACCCTATTTAATTATAAATACAAGATAGAGATTTAATAGTTTATTATTTTAATTTTTAAACATTTTTTATTGTGGTCATTTATTCTAATAAAAGGTAAAAATAAAAAGTTAAACATTTTTTTACAAATTTAAAAATATTAATTATCATTTTTAAGAAACGTGGAGTCAATTGGTTTTGCCATATAATTATGATGACAAAAAGTATTTCTTCCATACTGTAATATAAATTATAGTTAACCAATTTATAATTTAAGAATAATATTAGTTGAAACATTAAATTTTTAAAAATATTTATATCTTTTTATTTATATTTTCATTAAACACTATATTTTAAGAGCCTTGATAATAATCATTAAAATTTTAATGTATGATTTTTTTAAAAAAATAATAAATGAATTAAGTGTATAGTTAAAAAATAAATATAAAAAATATTCAATATCTTTTATTTTAAATTAGGTAATATTTTTAAAAAATATCTTATATTGTGACCGGAGGAAGTGCATGTATCAAGAGGATGCATTAAATGAGCAAGGGAATAGGAGAGTTTCCTCGCTGTACACATGCCTTCCTACCCTTTTGTTACAGACGAGCTTAACCAGGGGGCCTTTTTTTTTTTTGCCCAACTCCAAGCATGTTGATGTTAGAATTCTTATATTAAGTGTACTTATTAATAAAATATTTTATTAAAATAGTTTAAACTATTTAGTTAGATACTTTTTAAATTTATATATTTATGATTTGTCTTTTAATCTTTAAATATGAGACTTTTTTTTATCTTTTAATATTTTCTTTGCTACTTTTTTTTTATCTTCTCTTTTCCTTTTCATGCCTAGACTTGTATTTTTTTAAAGTCTGCCTCAGGTCGATTCAATTTCTTTTCTTTCTCTATCTCTTAATCTCTTGTTTTTTTTTTCATCTTTTATTTTTTTTCTTTTTTCTCATTTTCTTATCCTCGATCAAATGATTCATGATATCATATTAGAATTTTTATATTAAGTGTGCGTAAGGATAATATACACTATTAAAATAACTTAAGTCATTTGATTAGATACTTCCTAAGCTTATATATTTATGATTTATTTTTTAATATTTAGATGTGAGACTTTCTTTTATTTTCTAATAATTGATACGTGCTTTTGTTATTTTAAGTTTCTAAGTTTTTCTTAAAAAATTTCAAGCATATAACCTGGGTGAGGAAGGTGTTATATATAAACTTATAATTATAACACGTAACGCCGCCCCCTTCCCCTTGCTGCGCTTCTCAATCAATACATTTGATAGACACAAAGGGGGGAAACAACGTAACTCAGTTATATTTTACGATTATAAATCTATAAAAAAAATAAAAATAAAAACTCCAGATGAGATAATTTCGTAGAAAAATAATCCGTTAATTAGTAGATCGTGAATTATCTACCCACTGAATAATAATATATTTCTGTTACCATCTAAAGGCCGTCGAAATACAATGGTAAGGGTACTGTGGTGAGAATCTGGATAAAAAGTCTAGAGATTAAATCCTCGTGATTCATAAAAAAAAAAAAAAACTGTAAGAAATTTTAAATTCTCTCAAAACCATGACCATTATCTATTTCATGCATGATTGTTGTTGTGGTCCTCTTTGTCCTCTTTAAGGAATATCCAAATGCAGTTAGATGAGCCAAGAAGTTAAGAACAAAGGACTCTGATTCGAATATAATGCAGGTAATAAAAAAAATACAAATATAATTGAATAGTACAAATAATAAGCCAAGAAAACGTTTCGTCCATATCAGCACACACGTGCCATTCCCGCTCCAAATGAAAATCTCTTGACACGTACGATTGCGAGGCATGACGAGGAGCTTGTTATATTTGATTTGTATTCTGACCACTGAAAATAGTTTGAATTTTTAAAATCAATAAATATATTCTGTCTTTTTCCCCTTCTAAAACGACAAAGAATAATGAATAAATAAATTAAAATTGTTAGAATTTAACCTGAATAGTTCAAATATAGAATTTGACTTTAACAATTTATACCCAAAAAACTAGAAAAAAATGACCTGAAATGAGTAGTTTAAAACATGGATTAGATCTAGCAGAATGAGTTATTTTTTCATAACATGACGAACATGGTTTGAATCTCCAATGGTATCTTAAACAGGATTACTCCTAATAAATGGACACTTGTACACAGTCAATAAAATTAAGAAAAATATTTTATAAAATATTCTTAATTAATTATAGGTCTGGACTGTTCAAGACAAATTTTATCTATTCAGGTTAAATTTCAACAATTTAAATTTATTTATTTAATATTATAACAACGTAGTATACCGCTGAGCAGGTTGATGCACGGAAACTGAATCCGAGTTGAAGGTGTTATTTCTCTGAATTTCTTTAAGCGGATGGGTAAACCCGTTCATTTGTAGCTTCTTCGAGTTCTCTTTAATTTACTGTCAATTATTTTTCTGCTTTGATGAACTCTGAACCTAAAATAATTAATGACGAGCTATCTGGTAAAATTGCATCAATAATGATGGTGAAGAACTTAAAGTGCTTATAATGTTAATTAATTAGGTAAACATATGTTGGGATGATGGTGGAAGATAATAGAGAATCAAGGAGCCTTTGATACCCATTGTTGCGGTATTGTCTGATTTGGCAGCACCAATAATTTAATTTGAGGGGAGCTCATCCATTCAAGCAACGACATAAAGGTTTTAGTGTGACGTGCAAGCGCGGAAATAAAAGGCTACTGCAAAGCGAGGAAGAGAAATTAAAATATATAGTAGAAAACAAAGCGAGCAGAGAAGGAAAAAGTGGATAATATAATGAACAAGCTAAGGGAGGGTATTTTAGGGACGAATTGAGATGAATTAGAAGGATGCATGGATGGTGGGAGAGGAGAGAAAAAGGGCGGGTGCCACGGTGGAGAGTGGCCGCGCAAGACAAATGAAACCGTAGGGGGTTCGAACTCGGAATATCATGAGTAAAAAATTGAGTGGGGAGTGGGGATGACGTCAAGAGAAGCACCTGGAAGGGTGAAAATAGAACAGATTCTTATTAGAAATCCATTACTTGACCTACTTCATATTTAACATATGCTATTTATTAGATAAATTTAGGCTTGCAGGTTTATGTTTTTGATTGGATTTATTTAGTTTAAAATGTCAAACCTAGTTTTACGTGACCTTGATTAGGGGTTTAATTGATCGGCCCATATACATAATTACATATTATATATTATATTATACACACATCAATTTTATCATTTTAACTTTTATGTAATTTATTTTTTTATTTTTAGTTTTATCATATTAAATTTATATGTTAATTTTAATGTTATTACTTTATTATTGTATTGTTTTATAGTTGGCAAGTTTTCTTAATCATTACATATTGTAATTAATAAATCAAGTTATATATTATAGAGTTGAACAGTTATAAATCATATTTGAGACTTTTAAAATCAATATATAAACACATTTAAAATGTTTACTTTTAAATAGATTTCCATATAATACCAAACTTTAGATATAAGTTTAGGCTTAAGCAGTAAAATTTTTTTTATACAGATATCAGGTTAGATTCAGGTCATGTTTGGTTATTACAATGGAATGGAATATAGTAAAAAATTTAATATAAAAATAAATTAAATTATCATTCTTTCTCATAATAAATATGATAAAATTTATTAATATGTATTATAAATATAAAAATCATGACACCTTCCAAAAATTTTATAAATTATGATTCTTAATTTTATTAAATAAATTATTTCATTTCTTGATGAATGTAGCTTACTATTCTTCTTGAACATATTATTTTTAACTTTGTTTTTTTTCCCCCAAACATTTCATTCCACTTCTTTCTAATTTCCACAAAGACTCAAGTAAACCTTACCAAAGCTTACCCAAGGCATGGACCTGGGAAAGGGAGATCACATTCACCTCCACCTTCACATTCACATTCACATTCTGTGGCAGAGAGAGCTGGGGAGGGAAAACTTTGCTGCGATCGACGCCATGCACCAAAAATCTCTCTTCTATAAATGCCCCCTCCTTCCCACACCCCACTTCCCCGCCCTGCTCTCAGCCATGCCTTCTCTCCTCCACCTCTTTCCCCTTCCCTCCCTCTTCCTACCTCCTCCTCCAGGTATTTCTTTATTCATTCCCTCTTTCTTCCCCTCCCACATCATGCGATCCCCACTTCCTCTCTTTTTCACCATGCCTTTTTTATTTTTTAATTTCCTCTGTGTTTTTTTTTCACTTTTTTTTTTTAAATCTTGTCCCCCCGAAAAAGAAGGAACAAAAGTTAAACGGGACGATCCTTTAGAAAGCCCGGAGTTAGTCAACTAGTACGATCTATCTAACCGTTCCTTCGCCCGACAACAATGAGTGAAGACTTGTATCATCTCATGCAGGTGCCCCGCCTTCCGAGGTCAGGCACAAGGAAGCCACCTTGGATCCCCGCATCAGATGCAGCGCCGTCTCCAAACCTCCCAGTCAAGGCACTTCATATATATTCCCCTTTTCCTTTCCTTCTCTCCATTCCCCTCCAACAATCCCGTTAATTACTATACTACTCTGTGCCCATGCAGGATATACGGACCCTGTATTAGTTCAGGAGGGCCTGCCCCGGTTGAGGTGGCGCGAGATTGTCCGTGATGACATAGACGACGAACCAGCTCATGAGGTTCTTTCCTTCCAAGAACTTGACGTTAACGTTCTCTCTGCGTCCCTATCTCCTTGTTTTTGTGCTCGTGGACGCGGTCACGAATTTAGATATATTAACAGGCTCGGGTGACCGATCGCGAGATCAAGCAGCGAGCCGACGCTGTCAGATCGACGCTGCGTTCGTTGGAGGATGGCGAGATTGCCGTTTCTGCTTACGACACTGCATGGGTCGCTCTCGTGCCGGATGTTCGTGGGAGTGGTGCTCCCCAATTTCCTTCCAGTCTTGAATGGATCGCCAATAATCAGCATCCGGACGGTTCCTGGGGCGATTCTCAGACATTCTTGGCCCACGATCGAATTATCAACACCTTGGCCTGCGTTGTTGCGTTGAAATCATGGAATATCCACCCGGAAAAGTGCGAGAAAGGTTGTATTAGATATCAATTCATGATAAATAACTAAGTATAGATTGTTAATGAAGCTCTGCTGCGGTATTTTTTGGGTGATTATATAGTCTTAGTCGGCATGCAGGGATGGCATTCTTTTATGACAACCTGGACAAGCTTCAGGGAGAAAAGGCGGAGCACATGCCCATCGGCTTTGAAGTTGCATTTCCTTCGCTTCTAGATCTAGCCCGGAGGCTGAACATTGAAGTAACGTGTGATTCCCATGTCTTGAAAGAGATATTTGCCAAGAGAGACATAAAGCTCTCGAGGTATGTTGCCTAGGTACAGCGATCAGGGACAACGTTAAAGCTAAAGCTGTTAAGCATAACATGTTTTCAGGGAAAAAGTATTCGTAACTTTGCCCGAGTGATGTAAAGTTGTTTAACGCAGTTTGTGTGCCGTGCATTATTTAATTAATTTCTGAAATATATATGGTGGGTGGTGGGATTTTATAGAATACCGAGAGAGCTGATGCATAAAGTGCCCACAACGCTGCTCCATAGCCTGGAAGGGATGGCCGGGCTCGAATGGAACGACCTTCTAAAGCTTCAGTGTAAGGATGGGTCGTTCTTGTTTTCTCCGTCCTCCACTGCCTATGCTCTTGCCCACACTAGAGACCCAAATTGCCTCAATTACTTGAATAAAGCTGTCACGAAGTTCAATGGAGGAGGTACTAAAGCGCCTTTATTGGCCACTCCAAGTACTGATCACTGCTCCTTTTCCCTTTCTACATCATTTCATTTCCTTAATACTTATTCTTGCTTAAGCTTTATAACAGTTCCCAACGTATATCCCGTGGATTTGTTCGAACATATTTGGCTGGTAGATAGGCTTCAGCGTCTCGGAATTTCGAGATATTTCCAGAACGAGATCAAGGACTGTATGAGCTATGTTCGTAGGTAGGCCCACATATGGACATGATCAGTTCTCTACACACGTCAACTCTATCATTAAGCTTTTTTTATGCATGCTATTATTAGTAAGCTTTTTCAACTCATGAGAAATATTGATTCCTGCTGAATTTGAATCAGGTATTGGACCGAGAAGGGTATCTGTTGGGCAAGTAATTCCAATGTTCAAGATATTGATGACACGGCAATGGGATTCAGGTTACTGAGATTACATGGCTATGAAGTTGCACCCAGTGAGTTCCGTACACACGCATATGCTAATTGTTAATGATGGGTTAATTGATGGTTGACCTTGTTTTCATTTCTGATCGATGTATATTACATTTTTCAAACCAGGTGTGTTCAAGAACTTTGAGAGAAATGGTGAATTCTTTTGCTTTGCGGGGCAGTCAACGCAGGCGGTGACGGGAATGTTCAATCTATATAGAGCTAGTCAAGTGGCGTTTCCGGGAGAGAAGGTTCTTGAAGATGCGAGGCAGTTCTCAGTCAGGTTCTTGAGAGAGAAACAAGCGGCGAATGAGCTCCTGGATAAATGGATAATTATGAAGAACTTACCCGGAGAGGTATCACATCCTTCAATTAATGGCCGCGCCACGAGCGACCAAATTATCCACATGCAGTGCTCATTAATTAATGAAAATTATTTGAATAATGAACAATAATAGTCATATATATCCTGGAGCACTCAGGTAAATGTGCCCAGTCATGTAGCTTGGCACTAATAAACAGTGAATGTACATAATGCAGGTGGCTTACGCATTGGACATGCCCTGGCATGCAAGTTTACCCCGAGTGGAAACCAGATTTTATATGGATCATTATGGTGGTGACAGCGACGTTTGGATTGGCAAGACTCTTTATCGGTTCTCTCTTTTCTCCCTCTCTCCCTAAACCCTTGAATTTGCATCCATTAATGTGGTGCATTTCCTAAACGGGTAATTTTTTTACATCAGTTAATATTTTAGATACAATATTAAAATATTGTTGCTACATCTATACTCTATAGCACCATGAAATTATTCACAAACATTTGCAGAACAGAAATAAAATCAATTAATAGCCCACTTGAGATTAATTCATGTGCTGGCTTAAAAAGTTGAAATTTGCAATAATAATATAATTTTTAATTAAAATATTGTTAATAAGAACATTAATTTGTTCACAGAAAGAATATTTTTTATTGCCTTTTCCCAATGTTATTTATTTTGCATAAAAAATTAAAATTAATATTAGCCTCGACATTGAGAAAAGCTTTACAGTGGCAGGAGCATTTATCTGCTCTTATTTAGTTGTCATTTTAAAATCAACTGGATTAGGGGTATCCCAGCCGTGGCAGTGGCTAGTGATCATTGACTTGAGCCATGTTAGTTTAGAACTTAGAAAAAAATTAATTAAGAGTTCATCAGCTGATTTCATTTGATGACACTAAAAATAGATTATGAAATTGAAGTGACAGTCAGCGACGAGTTAAACGACCATCTGCAAAAGAAATAATTGGTATATTCGGAAATTCGGCCTTCACAAAAATGAATTGTTGTGTAAAACAGGATGCCGTATCTGAGCAATAACAATTATCTGGAGCTGGCAAAATTAGACTTCAACAATTGCCAAGCACTGCACCTACGAGAATGGGCCAGCGTTCAGAAGTAAGAGCATCAATTTTTTTTTCAAATTGCTAACGCTTCAAGAGGTTTTAGTGTTTTTATTCACCCCTTTCTCTTACACTCAACTTTGCAACCACACACACACATGCAGGTGGCACTCAGACTGTAGATTGGGAGAGTTTGGATTAAGCAGAAAAGCTCTTCTTTTTGATTTTTTTTTGGCTGCCGCCAGCATGTTTGAGCCTGAAAGATCTCAAGAGAGGCTTGCATGGGCCAAAACCTCTGCCTTGCTTCACACAATCACCTCCCATGTTAAGGACGATCCAAGGAGGAAAGCTTTTGTCAATCACTTCATCAGTTGCATCAAGGAACGAGACTACTCCACTGCCTGGTAAATTATTACAAATTAACAACTCGCGATTCTCCTTATTAATTTTCCAAATTCCTGCTCGTTATTGTTCCTTCTTCCATGTTTGTGTGCAGGAGATTAAATAGGAACAGAACAGAGGAAGGGCTCGTGGGCGCTTTGGTTGAAACGATAGATCAGCTCTCGTGGGATATACTTGTATCTCATGGCCATGAAATTGGCTTTGACATGCACCATACAGTGAGTCTTCCTATTTAATTTCCCTCCTGTTCAAAGCTTACAGTGTTCGCTTTCCCCGTAAAAGCGAATATTCGGGATTCTTCTGCCACAACAGCAACTTATTAAAACGCCGTTAGCGATGATAATTTGCAGTGGAGCTCAGTGCTGACTCTGATACTCACTTTTCACTGTTAAATTTGTCAACTAACTGACTAAGGTCACCGTTCTACTCAGCAAATGAAAGGAAAACATGAGTGGTCTATGTCAAACAATGAACAAAAAAGTACTGTTTCCAATGTTTTCATGTTTGATGCTTTCCCCTAATTTTTCTGTAACGTAACATACAGTGGAAAAAGTGGCTATCAAATTGGCAAAGTGGAGGGGACACGTGTCAAGGGCATGCAGAACTTCTGGTAAAAATAATAAACCTATGCGGTGGGAGCTGGATTTCAGAGGAGATACTGTTGAATCCTCGATACCAACAGCTCATTGAACTCACCAATAGGGTCTGCTACAGGCTTCATTGTTACCAAAAAGACAAGGTCAGCAGCAGGACAAGCACTATGTCCAGAACGAACGTTACCTCGGTGTTTAATATTTTGGCTGCACTATCTTGACTGGTCTTTTCAAATTCTCAGAAACTCTGCCCATCATCCCAAGAAATCAACTTAAATGAAAGTGTGGCGTACTCCATGATATATCTATCCATCGTTAATAGTTTCTTAATTTGTTCTTTTATACATTTTTAGGCACCTCAGAGTGGCGGCAGTGGCATGCGGACATATCGCATCACCACCTCAGAAGCAGAGTCAGAAATGCAGCAACTTGTGAAGTTGGTGCTTCAGGAATCTTCTAACGACATAGATTCCAGCATCAAGAATACTTTCCTTACAGTGGCAAAGAGCTATTATTATGCAGCCATATGTGATTCAAGCACCATCAACTTCCACATTGCCAAAGCTCTCTTCGAGAAAGTCACTTAAAATTTGTCTCTTTGTCTTCACTGGTCATGTCCACCACTGTCCATAAGTAGTCCGTAATGTATAATAATCTGTGTGACTGAATGAACGGTTTGCCTGTTAAATTTGCTGTCCAAAAAAAAAGAGTAAATCGATATCGTGTAGACAACTTAAATTCAAAAAGTAGAAGTTATGGCATGTTATATAAATATATAGATCCCCATGAGATTTACAAATACCTGATGAAAAGATACGATGCGACGAGGTCTACACTAATTTGGATAGTGGCAAATTATATGGAAAAGCATGTCAAGATAATAATTAATCCTTGTTAAGCCGGCTGGTCCCAGAGTCCTGCTAAATGGAAGCAAAGTTAAAAAAACATCGTTAGAAATGGCCGGGGCATGAATACCACGAGATAGTGGTAGACGATTGGTGGACTCAACCAAAAACAAGATCTTTTTTAAGTTTTCAACACGCATATGTTACCATGTAAACTAAATACTTTCCTTTTCTTCTCACAGTTCCTCACGTCAAACTTCTTACCTTTAATTATTTATTTATTGGCTTTCACCAGTATTCTTCTCTACTCTCAGGCATACTTCTCCCACCACACTGCACTAGTACAAAATATTAAATTTATACTCCCATATCTACGCCGATTATTGCACCAATGGTGTAGAAATTAGAGGCGGTGGCAATTTCATAAATAAAATTTTTTTCCACCAATATTTACACCGGATATACCTCTAAACCGGTGTAGATACAAACATCTACACTGGTTCCAATTACACCCGGTGTAGTTACATTAATATCTACACCAGTTCTTTATTAAACCGGTGTAGATATATTTATTTTTTTAAAATATAAATTTCTGAATCCATATCTACACTGGATTGCTCTGTTAACTGGTGTAGATATATTTAATATTTATTCACTAATTTTTTTTCTTTTTTTATTAACTTATCTACGCCGGTTTCAAAAAGAAACCAGTGTAGATGTCTTTATTTTTTTAAAAAAAATAAATTTTGAACCCATATCTACACCGGTTTGCCCTGTTAATCGGTGTAGATATTGCATTCTCCGTCTCTTCTAAACAGCACTTTCATTTGGAAATTTCATTTTTCAAAATTTTCGTCACTCGCGCCGAGAGAGTTCATCATCTTCTAACCCTTCTCGTTCAGGTTTTGTTTCCAAATCTCTATTACTCTGATCTTCTTCCCACTTATCTCGTTCCTTCGCTCTTCTTCCTTCGGCCTGTGTTGTCATTTTGCATCATTGGTGGCTGTGGGTTGATTGTAGTTAGTGGAGATCGTTCCCTGTGCCAAATTCTACGAATCCCCTTTCCCTTCTTTGCTAAAATCTCTTTTGCTGTTGAAACACTAGGGCCGAGACGTCCTTCGCCACTGGTGACTGGTTTGGTGTGCGTGGATAAAGCTTCATCCTTCCCTGTTCATGGCTTGATCGTGAAATCCTCCCTCCTTTTCATGTTGTTGTATTTCTAAGGTCAGCAGCTTTAATTTGATCCTTTCTTTATTGTTGTGGATTGAGATTAATTATTTATTGGGTGCTTGCGTTATGTCTGAAATCTTGCTTATGTTGTGTTTGAAATTTTTTCCTTCTTTTCTTTGCTAATCCGTGTATATCTTGGGGTAATGTATTGATTATTTGTTCCAATCATCTGGGGGCTTGGCCAAATTGCTATTTTTAATTTTTACTTTCATTAGAACTGAACTAGGTATTTTTACTTGATTTTAAATTTAAAGGAATTGGGTTGTGCGTATATAAATTTTATCAGGGTAATTTATTTCCTATGAATTAAATTGTTGTGGCGACATCATTATTAATTTATTTTCTGTATGCTGGTGAAGTGCTGATAGAGGCCTAAGGCCATTAGGCATTGCATGTGACTTTATTTTATTTAAATGATATTATTTTTTACTTATATTTTTAATTGTAAATTTATTGGAAAGTCTAACTTTTAGGAGAGACTTTGCCAAATATTTTTTAAAATTATTGTTTTGTCCCTCCTTCTTTATAGAAAGGGCCAAAAATACATAGTTGACTTCTTTTTGTCCCTACTTATTAGATAGGAGGGAAGTCAATTCTAAAAAATATTCTCAAAAGATTGAAAATTTCTAAATTAAATTGGAAATTATTGTGTTAGCATGCTTCTTTCTTATTTTTTTTAATATATAACTCTTTGTCTGGCCCTATCAGAATGGATTCAGTAATAATCCATGAACTTTGTCGTGTTTTAGGAAGACAAATTAAACGTGAATCGTAGTTGGATAGATGCCAAACGAAGGAGCGCAGAGTATAGTAATGGGGTTAAGGGGTTTTTGGAATTTGCTCAAAGCAATGCTGAAGATGATAGTGGGAGGTTTTATTGTCCTTGTAGGGACTGTTTGAATGAGAGGCGGCTAAGTGTAGATAAGATATATGAACATTTAATTTGTGAGGGGTTTCTCAAAAGTTATAGAGTATGGATATGGCATGGTGAAAGATTGAATATATCGATGCCGAGTACATCTCAATCGCGGCATGTTGATGTTGTTGTTGATGATGATGAGGATGATATGGTTGATCGATTAGAGGACATGATTCGTGACGTGGGTAAAGAGGCTTTTGAGCAATCCCAAGCATACAATAATATGTACAGTGATGCAGAGACACCTTTAAATCCAGGGTGCGAGGAATTTAGTTTGTTGAAAGCAGTGTTGAATTGGTGAACTTGAAAGCTAGATCTGGGTGGAGTGATAAGAGTTTCACAGAAATGCTTGAGTTATTCAAATTAATGCTTTCAAGAGAAAATGTATTGCCGGTTTGTTACTATGAGGCAAAGAAAATTTTGTGCCCACTGGGCATGGAGTTTAAGAAAATACACGCATGCCTAAATGATTGCATATTGTACAGGAGAGAGCATAAAGACGAGCAAAAGTGTCCTGTATGTGAAACACTAAGGTATAAAGAAAACAAAGCTCCTGCAAAGGTGTTATGGTATCTTCCAATCATTCTAAGATTTAAACGATTGTTTGCTAATGAAAAGGATGTAAAGAATCTAAGATGGCATGCGGATGACAGGATTTTAGATAGAAAGCTTCCACATCCAGCCGATTCAGAACAATGGAAGAAAATTGATACTTTATTTCCTGAGTTCGGCCATGATCCAAGGAACCTCAAGCTTGGACTTAGTACAGATAGCATGAATCCTACAGCAGCCTTAGCAGCATACATAGTTCATGGCCTGTTTTGTTGGTGATTTACAACTTATCTCCCATGTTATGCATGCAACACAAGTATATCATTTTGTCTATGTTTATTTCAGGACCGAAACAATCGGGAAATGACATTGATGTTTACCTAAGACCCTTGGTCGAAGACTTGAAAAAGCTATGGGAAGTAGGTGTGGATGTGTTCGGCGCGAATCGAAAGGAGGTATTCAAGTTACATGCGATGATATTTTGCACCATAAATGACTTCCCTGCATATGAAAATTTGTCAGGCTACAATGTTAAGGAGCATAAAGCATGTTCGATTTGTGAAGCGGGCACATGCTATCATCAACTTCATCATGGAAAGAAGACAGTTTAACTTGGCCATAGGAGGTTTCTTGAAAAGGACTACCATTATCGTAGAATAGGGAAAGCTTTCTATAGTGGTGAAGAGCATGGAACTGCCCTAAAGCCATTGACAAGGGAGTGAGTTTATGAATTGGTGAAAGATATCAATGTTACATTTGGCAAGACTATAAATAATAGTGAAAAAAGTATATAGAAAAAAAGATCTATCTTCTTTGACCTTCCATATTGGCGCTATCTTGATATGAGACATTGTATTCATGTCATGCATGTGGAGAAGAACGTGTGTAATAGTATTATTGGAACGCTTCTTGATATACCAGGCAAGTCTAAGGACGGTGTGAAGGCAAGATTAGATTTGGTGGACATGAAAATTAAATAAGACTTACATCTAAGGCCGGTTGGTAAGAGGACTTACTGTTCTCCGGCTGAACATACTTTGTGCAAGGATGAGAAAAGAAGCCTTTGTCAGTGCTTACACGACATGAAAGTTCCCTCAGGGTATTTTTCAAATTTTAAAAATCTCGTGTCGATGAAAGATTTAAAATTAGTGGGTCTCAAGTCTCATGATTGTCATGTTTTAATGCAACAAATATTACCAGTGGCTATTCGAGGCTTCTGGAAAGATGAATTGAGAGATGTCATAACTAGGATTTGCTTTTTCTTCAATGCTATATGCCGTAAAGTCCATGAGCCTGAAGAATTGGATGAATTAGAAAATGAAGCATATCTTATCTTATGCCAACTTGAAAAGCTCTTTCTTCCATCATTTTTTGACATTATGATACATCTAATTGTTTACCTAGTGAGGGAGATAAAGTTATGTGGCCCTGTGCATTTATGATGGATGTATCCAATTGAAAGAACAATGAAAGTTCTAAAAGGATATGTGAAGAGTCCACACCATCCTGAAGCATCTATTGTGCAAAAATATATCTCTAAAGAAGCAGTATAATTTTGCCAAGATTATTTAAACAATGTACGACCTATTGGGTTGAGATAATATGATGTCAAAGATCATAGATGTGGCATTTCTATGAAGACCGCTGATCCTCATGAATTGCAACAAGCACACTTACATATCTTGAATAATGTTGATCAAGTTCAAGACTATATAGATGTGCATAAAGAACTTGTGAGGAAGCAAAATAGTCAAATTAGGATAACTAAGCAAAGATTAATTAGAGAGCATAACAATACTTTTGCAAAGTGGTTTAAGCAGAAGGTTGAAAAGGAAGATTGTGTTTCTGATATTGTTAAGGGGCTGGCACAAGGTCCTGAGTGTGATGTTATATGCTGGACTGCATTTGATATTAATGGATATTTATTCTACACGAAGTCTCTAGACAATAGGAGTAATGTGCAGAACAGTGGTGTTACACTAGTGGCCTCAGGCATGCACTTCTCTAGCTCGAAAGACCAAAATCCTTTATTCGCATCCATGCCTATTACGGGGTTATTGAAGAGATTTGGGAGGTTGACTATATTAAATTTAAAATCCCTATTTTCAAATGCAAGTGGGTTGATGTTAAAAATGGTTTTCATCAAGATAGGATGGTATTTATATTAGTCAACTTAAATACTTTAAGTTTTGGCGATGAACCTTTTATTATGGCAGACCAAGCGAAACAAGTGTTTTATGTCACAGATCCGAGAAGTGAAACATGGTCAGTAGTTCTTGAAGGAAAAAGAGAGATTAATATTGATAAGAAGGATTGTTCAAATTTCAATATTTTTGAGACTCCTTCTTTCTCGATAGGCTTGCCTGTATTGAATGTAGAAGATGAATTGGATGACGAATATGGCACGAGAGATGATCATCGCGAAGGGATATGGGAAAATATTGCTATTTAAAAATATGTTAAAAGTTAGTTATTTATTTATAACATGTATGATTTATTAAATTGGTTATTTATTGTGTTTTATTCATATTAGAACATGTTTTATTTATTAGTTATATCACTAATGATTTTTACTTATTGTCTAAACAGGAACATGGAGGATCGGAGTGTTAATCAAGACCAGCCTGACCCTTCTACCCTGATCGTGTCTACCAGTGGTGATGACTGTGTGACTGTTAGTCCTCAAACTGCGGGTAGCAGCCAATCTACACGATCCAGGAGGCCTAAAAGTAGCACGCGATTAAGAGAGTTAGCTCTAAGTCGAAGCAGAGGCGAGAAGATTTCGATTCAGTTTGATAATAATTGGAAGCCAATCGGGCCTAATGGGGCTAAGTTTACTAGTTTTTTAGGCCTCCAAGCTCGTAGCAAGCCAAGTATATTAGCACCCACATGGGATGATGTCCTAGAACGAGTGAAGGAACAGATATGGGAAGCCATTAATGTATGATAAATGTGCTTTTATCACTTGTTATCATTATTTGTTACTGATTATTATGACTATATCACTAACTATTGCAATGACATGTATTGCAGGTCACATACGATGTCCCCACGAGTATAGACTTTAAGCATAGGTTGATGACCTGGGCATATGATCGTTGGAGGGGTTTCACATCACTAGCTAAGAGATTTGTGCATATTAAGGTGCTAGAAGGACAGCCATGGCCTAATCCTTGTACCCAATACACATTTCTCGATGCAGCTACTTTCGAAGAATTTGTTAGGCTTCGGACTACGCCAGATGCTCTAGTGAGTTAGATTATTTTAATTTATTTTTTTGTTTATTTTAGTTATATATCATTGTCCTTATTAGGTAATGAATATTTTGTAATTCTAATTCACAGAAAAAGAGGAGAAAGGCACAAGAAGTTGGAAGGAAGAACAATTGCCCCCAAACAAAGTCTCGTGGCGGTTACGTGTTGGCCGACAAGGAATTGATAGACGCCAAGAGGAGGAAGAGAGAAGAACAAGCTCAATCAGATCCTTCTATTCTACTGTCTCTACCATCTCCAATATGCTACGATGAGAGATGGATTTATGCCCACAAGAAGAAAGACGGGTCCTTTTCAAGTGAGCATGCTCGTGAGGTCGCTCAAAAAATTGTAAGTACAATTGTCATTTGTAATCTTATTTTAAATATCAAATATTACTAATTAATTATTATTTGTATGTTACAGGATGAGCTTAAACAGAAGCAATTCGAGGGATCATTCATCCCAGAGGGAAGAAATGATATCCTGGCTATTGCTACGGGAAAAGGAGAGCATCCTGGACGTGTTCAGGGATTTGGATTAGGGGTGAGTATAAGAGATGTATTTGGACCACCTCAAAAATGCCATTCTTCAAGACTTGTGACTAGAGAGGAGTTGGATGTGATGTTAGCTCAATCAAGGGCTGAGGCAAGGGCTGAGGCTGAGGCTATTCTTGAAGCTAGGCTACAAAAGATGAAGGAAAAAATGATGATGATGATGAGCTCAATCAAGGAGCCAAGTGGCCCACAGACTCACTCCCCTGCTTGTCTTCCGAGCACTAAAGGGAGCAATATCGTTCTACTTCCTTCAGAGGATGACCCTGCTCCAGAGGGTGAACTATGCTACTTGTATGTAGAGGATCCAGAAAGACGCTTAGTAGCACACGGTTACATCCACGAGGGGTCAAAATGCCACTTTCAAGAAGTTCAAGAAGATGTTGTCAAGGTCACTGTTGAAGAGGTAAGAATCGATGATGCTTCTGTCCTATTCCTCACTGATGAGATCAAGACAGTGAAAGATGCCAAGGGCACTTTTTGCTTATGGCCAAAAAGACTTGTTGGGAAGCCTCAAGATCCGTAACAAATTTTATTAATTAATTTTAATGACTTCTTTATAATTAAGAATGTGTTACTAATTTTTTTATTTAACAGGAAACCCCATCGTCCCATAAAGTAGGTCAAAAGCCACAATTGTTCGAGCCAAGTCTATGGGATCGATTTGTATTGATGGTATATAGTGGATCATTTCCACCTTGGTGTTTTAAAGCGAATCCTGATCTTGCTGGCTTAAGCAACTATGAAATCTTTGTTGAGAATGAGGACCTCCATCGGATTCTCATTGATACTGACCTAACCATGGCGAACATCCAAATCAGGATGATGTAAGTGTCTTCTTGTAAATTTAAATGAAATTAAACAATTCAGCTTTTCAAACTAACTTGTTTTAATTTTTGTAGGTTTTTGCATCAATTGCTGGTTTTCTCGAGTAAAGACAAACAATACGGATTTCTTTGCCCACGTTACACTAATGATAAAGAGACCACCAAAGAGGCAAAGGAGGCATATATGAACCAGAGGCTGAGTGAAGGCAGAAAGGAGTGTTATTTTTTCATGTTTCTCTATCTGTAAGTAAATATATTTGAATTTATTCATAATAGTATCGAATATTTACTTAAATGACTTTTTTTGCAGTATAAACTGGCAATTGATAGTATTTTCGATGAAGAGCAATTCTATAATTTTTTTATGCTCTTTGCATCGTAAACTCAATCTGGCAATGAAGAAATCTTACGAGCAGTAAGTGTGCTTAAGGAGTCTTATAATAAAATTTTTTAGTCATTAAGTTACTAACTATGTCATGTTAATAATAGGGCTATGAGGATTGGCTAGCAAGTCCGGTTGGGTAAGGCCCCACGTGATGTCAAGGATCCTCATGGATAACACCAAAGGTAACAAGTTATACATGTTTTTATTTTATGTAATTTTGATGATAGATCCTTCTTTCAATATAATTATGACAATGTTGTGTTATTCCATAGGCAACCCCCTACTAATTTGTGCGGCTTTTATATGTTAAGACATGCATACAATATCATCGCCGTTGACTTGACTGAGTTCACTGAGGAGGTAAATGTAATTTTAGATATTATTTATTTTTTCTTCTAATATAATTACTGATTTAATTCCCTTATCCCTAATCTTTTCAGATGTTCAATGATCCATCTCCATTTTCGGATTCAGAGATCCATCAAATAAGGCAACATTGGGGACTCTTCATGTTCGATCTTCATAATAATCATCCTTTAGAAGAGTAAACTGTGTAGTTGTAAACATTAGTAAATATAGTTGTGTGTATGATTAATTAGTTGACAATTTATGTTTTATGTGTTTGGAATTGTACATAATTTTAAATTCATTTGATTTGAACAATATATGATTGTCTGGCTGGCTGATTGTTATTTGGCTATTATATGTTTGATTAATGTAGGATTTAAATTGTAGCCTATAATGGTTGGGGTAAATAAAAAAATGGAAATTTTTTTACTTAGAAAGCAAATATTTACACCGGTTATTGAAATAAAAGGTGTAGATATATTATTATCTACACCGGTTCAACGAACAACCGATGTAGATAATAATATATCTACACCTGTTATGACAATAACTGATGTAGATATATTATTATCTACATCGGTTTAACGAATAATCGGTGTAGATATATAGATTATCTACACTTGTTATATTTAGAATCGGTGTAGAGAACTTTTAAGAAAATTGCATATATATTCATAATTGATGTTATCTACACCAAAATTTATAATCGGTGTAGATATATCCGTTAACTACACCAGTTAAATAACTGGTGTAGATAACTTCATGATATCTACATTGATCTTATCTACACCGGTTACTAAACCGGTGTAGATAAGCTATTTTAACTGGTGTAGATTTTCTTGTGTGTACTAGTGCTACACCCTCTCATTTTTACTCTCACACTGCTCGCTCTTTCTGTCTACACAGATCACAACACTTGACAACTTTCTTATTTCTACTCTCCCATTGCTGCCTTCTTAAGTGAGTTTGTTGTAGCTAGGATTTTCTAGGACGACCTTCTTTTCACCGCCACATGCTTATCACCAATTAACTTGCTTCTCCATAGCCATAGAGTAATCATCTTTTTATTTTATTTATTAATTAGTCGTTGACTCTTCTAGGCATTTATCGTAACCATGTTTGAAAATAAATATCCAAGAGCGAGAAGGACAAAAGCCCTCGCTACATTACTATCCTTTTCACCGGTAAGGTTTGGAATCGGGTAAAAATCACTGTTGATAGGAATGAGGTGGGACAAGACCCTGAAGACTTCTTGAAACACCAATATATATATATAGATGGCCGATCGATGAGTAATGGTACACCATAAGTCAACGTCATGAAAGATGAATAGCGGCCTTTCCACGTAATTAAGCTATAATAAATAGATAAGCAGCGCTGTTGAGGGCTAAATAGTATGGCAACTGAGAGATGAATCTTGAGTGTTTTCTGCGAAAAGAAAGACCAGGGGAAGTGGACAGATCGCTTAGTCGAGGGAACGTCAGCAAATCAGCCACTCCCAGGTCATGTCGGCCTGAAATAAACAGCATTCGTAAGAGTAGAAGAGAAGCGTCCGGGCAATGAAATTAGCATAATGAAGTTGGGGTCCATGATAATGATGATTTGAACTTTGAAGATAAGAAATGTATCCAGTAGAAGAGAGAGAAGTATTGCGTTGGGTAGCACACGTGGTGTGAGGTCCCAGTGATCCAAGGAAAAGACTATTAGCCATAATTAAATAGATGAAAAGGCGAATTAGATGAGAAACAGTAGATGAATCAGTTTCCCACTAATAAGGGATTAGTATGGAATAGTAATGACCTAGCATAGCAGTGAGGCGCATGATAGAAAGAGAGGGTTTAAATGACATGGAGTCAAGAGGCATCCGCACCTCAGATTTAAAATTATGTGAGCAATGTTAGTTTGTCAACCAAATGTTACTTGTTACATATGATTAGTATCTAAATAGTTTATGATTGCTGTGTTAGTTGTATCTGTCATTGACACACGTCAAGTTTATATGGCTTATTCAAAGAGTCCGCTTTACTATATAAGTTGTACTTCTCATCGATTTTTAATAAGATTACAAAGTTTTATTTTTAATGTACTTTTCTCTCTAATACTTTGACATGGTATTAGAGCCATGCCGTTTAGGCAAAGCTCTAAGCCAACGATAATCTCATGAAGTGACCTTGGCATTGAACTGTCTCCTATCTCAGGATTGATAGTTTAACAAAATAATGTCCTCATCTCGTGTCACATCAATCCTTTTTGAAATAAATTTTGAAACTCTATCTCACAACTTCGCTAATGAGAAGATCACCTTGAAGCTTAATTCCAGTTATCTCATATGGAAGCAATAAGTATTTTTCAAGGTCAAGAAACATCAATTGGCTTTTTTTCTTGAAAGATCTATCTATATTCCATCACATATGATTTGCAAAGGCAAAGGTCAAGAGGTCATGAATCTATCATCTTAGGTGTAAGAACAACTCAAATCTGCTTTAGCTTCGTGGTTTTTGCCATCCATCACTTCATCTATGTTACCTAAGTTAGTTGGCTTGGAATTGACGACATCAAAGATCTAGTCCAAATTAAATTGCCTATACTCAACCAAATCCAATTTGAAGATTCTGTGTTATTAGAATCTCCTCTCTAATTAAAAGAAATGAGAGCATAAGATGTGTGATTACTTAACAAATTTTAAGTCAGTTAAAGATCATCTACCCTTTCTTGGTGAATCAATATCTAAGTCAACATATATTTCCTATATCCTGAATTGCCTTTCTACTGAATATGAATTTGTTATCACCGCTATTAACTCATCAATGCCTCATTTTCATCTTGATATGATTACAATGATGCTTTTAGACTCTGAGGCTAGGCAAAAGACATTTATCAGTAATAGTAATGTTGCTTATGTTTACTATACAGATGGTTCCTCTCAACACTAGGGATATGATGAAGATCCTTATGTGTTTTACTTGCAAACTTCCTCATATGATTAAGGTAAGCCTCTACTATTCAGTGCTTCTATTTCTTTTTCAAGGAGATAAGGTCATGGTATGTTTAACACCTCTTCTAGACCAACATGTTAGATTTGTGCTAAGGCTGGTCATACAGCAGAATGATGCTATTTCAGTTTAACACCTCCTTTAATACTTCCTCTTATCAACCTCAGCCTATTACTAGTAAACCTCAAGCTCTCTACACGACTCTTACTTCTCCTTATTATGCTATGCCTGATCAGTCTAGTTGCCTAACAATTATTCTATTGTTGTTATGTCAGCTTCCATTACTACTCCATCTAATTCTCTTTCACCTCATAATATGATGCTTGTTACTAATTATTCATCCACATCCCCTATAATGCCTACTTTTATTACTTTTGCTACTACATCTGTTGATGTGCCTTCAGTATAAGTGTTTGTTCCTTCTCCTAAAGTAGTTGACAATGATGCTTGGTATTTGGATTTGAATGCTACTCAACATGTTGCCTAGTCAACTTCTCAATTTTAGAATACTCCTCATCCTCAAGGCAATAGTAATGTCATGGTGGTAGTGTGTTTCTTCTTATCTCTCATATAAGCAATGCTTATTTATCTGTACCTACATCTTACTTACACATGAATAGAGTTTTATATGTTCTATCTATGCCCAAAAAAAATCTTATATCTATTTCATAGGCATATAAAGAAATGGTATGTCTATTGAATTTTTTTCCCATGGTGTATTTATTAAGGATTTACAAACCAAGCAAATCCTCGTGCATGGACCTAAGTTAGCTAGCATATACAAGCTTGCTACTCATCTTACAATGTCCTTTCCTTATTCTTAGACTTGTCAAAGTTCCGCTGCTGTTGGTGATTTTGTTGTAAGCTCTTGTTTTTATGTTCAAGCCTTAGATTCCTTTTCTCTTTTACATTGTAGGCTTGGTCATCCACATATAGATACTATTAAAAAAGTTTTAATTTTTGCTTAGATTTCTTTTTCAAATAAATTTGTTAACTTTATATATGTTGTTTGTAAACTGGAAAAGAGTCACAAATTACCTTTCAAGGCATCTACTACTATGTAGCTCATCTTTTGCAATTAATAGAAATAGATTTGTGGGGTCTAGCACCTTTTTTGTCTACTGGTTTTGCCTTTTATATATTGTTTCTTAATGCACATATTATGTTCTCTTAGATTACATACTTCATAAAAAGCTAATGCATGATGTGTGTTCAAAGACTTTTAAGCTTTTTATTGAAAATTGATTTAGCACTAAGATTCAACAAGTGCAAAGTGATATGGGGGAAAGTTTCTGGTTTTCACTTTTTTAACCAGCTGTGATATACAACATCGATTTATATGCCCTTATACTTTTAAGTAAAATGGACTAATTAAAAGTTGTCACAGGTCTATAATCTCTTCATCCAAACTATTGGGGTAATGCTTTTTTCACTACTACTTTTCTACTTAATCAGTTGCCTTCTACTACCTTAAAAGGTCTAATAGCACAAGATATATATAACTCTACTCCAGATTACTCTATTCTCAAGGTTTTTAACCATGAGTGCTGTAACATCCTAAGTCTTCAATCTAAGGATTTTAAGTGATTACAAGGGTAGAATAGTAATCTCAAGTGAATTTTTAATTAATGACGTTTATGAAAGACTAATATAGTTTTTGAATTATTGGCTAGCATTAGAAAAGGGCTAAGTCAGAGTTTGAGTAAGCTGTAACATGAAGGGAGGTTTAAATCGTAAAGGGGACTTTCTGTGCCATGTACTACGGCAGACGCACTAATGTACCGTAAAATTCTGCACTTATTAATTCGTGAATCAAAACAAAAATCAAAAGGGGGAAAGATAGAATGTAAGAGGAGCGATTGAGGGAGCTTGTAATCTGCTAGGGCTAGATGTTTGGAGCAATTTAGAAGCATTGGGAATAATTTTTATCTTTGGGTAACTTCCTACACCTCTCGCTCTCCTTATATTCTAATTTTCTAATAATTGGGGCATGTTAAGACTTGTTTGTGATTGTTCATGTGTAATGGATGAAAGCCTCAGATAAAATTTTAGAGAGTTAAATTAAACATCTAACATTAGGTTTATGAGTTTTATAGTGATTTAGAATATTTGGCTAGGATTTGAAAAAACCTTACATGGAATTTAGTAATTTTGGGACGATGTGGATAAATGATTGGTTATATTAAAGTGTTTGAATATTACATAAGATTGTTGGAGTGTGTTGAAAGAGCTAATATTGTTAACTAAGAATTTTGGATGTAATGAGTATTGGAAATTTAGTGATTTTGGGATTTACTTAGAGTGTAATTGATAATTATTGTT